TTTTTTTTTCAAGCAGGAGACGGGATTCGAGGTCCGGTGGGGGCTGGGGTTTAGGCGGTGTCCTTTCCGATTTAAAAAAAAAAAAAAAAAAACGTTTCTGTTTAACTGTACCTCTACTATGCTGTTGCATGCTTGCTGTAATGAACATGGGGTCGTGGCTAGAGGCCAATCTGATCTCGGACGTGCCTGGCATATGACATGTATTGATGACTTGAGAGTGTCATTAGGGGCGTTCATGGTGAAGTAGAACACCGAAATGCTCTACCAGAATCTTTATTATGGAGGATTCAATAAATAAAAAAATATTTTAAATTTTTTTCGGGGTTTGGGGGGGGGGTGATAGTGTTGGCAATGCAATTTGTGGATTTTGAAATTGATTCTTAATATAAAAATCATTGGTCACAGAGAAATGTGTGTGTGTGTGGGGGGGGGGAGGGGGATAGGTGTAGGCCAGACAGGTTTTATTCCTCACATAATTTGTTGTGTAAATAAGTCTTTTACCTGTGTTATCTTGCTAACTGTGGTAGTAACAGTCACTTGTGTATATGCGTACTTAAATGGCAAGCCGCGTATGGAGGTATAATGGTATGGAATATGTTCACGAGGTCTATGTCAAAAGTGAGGAATGTTGTGCCATGACAAATGACATCTACCACCGCAGACGGGACTGTTTCTTTTGTAAACGTATTATATAATATATATATATATATATATATATATATATATATATATATTTATATATATATATATATAATAGATATAATAGATTATACGATTTATTGCGGAATGGAAATTAATCAATAAAAATGTGTAAATCGTCTAGTATCTTAATCAGAATTTTTTGTATGTCATTTCTAAAACTACCGGTACTAAAAGATAATGTGATTGGTTTTCATCCAGGGAGGTCACTAAGGGGGTGCGGGGATTACGGACCCCGTCGTTTGACCCTGACCCCGGTGACCCCGCTGCTTTCATCTCCAAAGTTTCCTGATATGACTGAACAGAAGGATCGAATAATTGAAAGTCACCGAATCAAAAGAGATGTCACTTGCGTCTACTAAAAAAAAAAATTTAAAAAAAATGTCGGTTTGTCACAGAGAGATTATTTTAACGGACGAAAAATCATCCTGCCTACTACTCTACATCACTCAGTCGGTCTTATTTCGTAGACCAAAAACCTGTCCCGTCTACTACTCTACATTACTCAGTCGGTCTTATTTCGTAGACCAAAAACTTGTCCCGTCTACTACTCTACACTACCCAGTCGGCCTTACTTCACAGATAGGTTGGTCTGTAATGTTGAGTCTTGGTTCGCTAGTGATTGATGAGCTCTTATGCCTTTCAGCTGACATTCGTTTTGGTTGTGTGTGTGTGTGTTTGTGTGTGCGTGTGTGTGTGGCAGTGTGCGTTGGGGATAACTCTTTAGAAAGTCAACACTTAAAAAAAAACAAAAAACAAAAACCAAAACAAACCGACACGATTAGGATTAACCTAGATAAGCTAATTCAAATGGCTTATCGCCGGTGTCGTCGATGTGCCCTGAGGGGATCTTGTTAAAAAAAAAAAAACCACGATCTATCAAATATGATAATGAACTTGTTATGTCAACACACTAAAAATGACATTTTTTTACAACAAAAACAAACAGTGCAGATGAACTTGATGGCTCACTGGTCCCATTTGTGGCAGAGGGTAACTACATCGGGGCCGACGACGAAGTAATGTTTTTTTTTTTTTTTGAAGTAATACATTACATGTTTACTCGAATGGGGGGGGGGAACACACATTCACTTTAACAGGAATGTTACGGGATGTGAAAAAAAAAAAAAAAGATTTAAAGGGATTCGTACGTGTCTTTAAATTTAGTAAGATTTTTTTTAAATAAGAAATTTCTGTGCGATGATTTTAAGGACATTTCTGGTGTTGGTCGCGATGTTACGCAACCAACGGGGTTATTCTCACGGAGATTCAGTCACGTCACAACACCAGCAACTACATGCATGACATCTGTCGGAACTTTTAATTGTTACCGTGTTGTATGTCCACATGTTTGCACGTCATATTTGCACACACCCAACGCACCGGAGCAGTGCGCGCACACACGGGCACCATTCATACGTCCACAAGGAAAACATCTCATCTGAATTTAAACGCGATCGCTTCGCGTTAAATTATATCTGATTATGTGTAGTGGGAAGCGGTGAAACTATGGTGGAAAAAAGCCTAGCCTGGCTTTAAAAATTTTTTTTTTTAAATGAAAGGGACTTTATGCCGAATAATCATTAAATTTAAAATAGTGCACACTGTTTAAAGGAATAACGAGTTAATATTTCATTAATTTTTTTTTAGAAACATGACATAAAAAATAATTTATGACCTTAAAACAATATTTAATAACTATTACTGCAGTACATCTTCTTGAGCATATTCTGTCATAACAAATAACATAACAATTCCGATATTATTTATAATGACAATATTTTAAGCATTTAAAAAAAAATTCACAATATTAACTCATGCTGGCTTAAACTCAGTCGGATTAACCCGTCGCAAGAGAAATCACAAATTAAGTATGGTACTCAATGGTAGCCTATATTAATGATAGTATTATTATTATTATTACTATTATCATCATTATTATTATTATTATTACTATTATCATCATTATTATTATTATTATTATTATTATTACTTAGGGATGTGTTTAAGGAGTGAGTGATTTATTTTTTAATCTAAATATTTAAGTGTGTAGCTTATAAAAGACATTAGCTGTCAGTGCCACCTGGGCCAAGTTTTTTGCCCTTCCCCTTCCACATCCAAGAAGAGAAATCTATGCTGTTGGCCAAAGAATGCCACCCATTTGCCTTTATATAAAGAAAAGCAGGGGGGGGGGAACCGTTGAACGGGGACATCAGCTGGGAGTCGCTGCTATTCACACACCCATGGACTGCCGTGTTATTTTGACCCTGTGAAAATGCACACACACACACACACTTAGCTAAGGCCTTGGCCACGGCTCAGTGATGGATGTGTCGACCTAAGGGAACTAAGGGAACAGCCCCCAGGCTCTATTGAGGGTGGCTGTCCCGGTGTTAACTGTGTGTGTGCCTGGATTAAACAACGTTCCCCCCTGTCGGCCACCGGGTGTCGCGTTTGACACTGGGGGCTTATCAGATCACATTGACTTTCACATTCAATTTGAAATAATCTTTGTTTTTTTGTGTTGTTTTTTATATTACGGCAACTGTTACATTTCAACAATTTCAGTGCAAGATTCACTGTACTAACGCAGTAGGAAAGGAGCGAAACAAACCATGGGGAAAGCTGAATAAAAATGGACGCAACAATACAACGATGGTGTCGTCAAGAAGCCTACTTCAACGAACAAGCAATGGTTTAAAAAAAAAAAATAAAAAAATAAAAACATTAAATTATTTGTTATTTGTAGGCTGCGCTCGTAATTTTAAGACTTACATTAGGGAGAATACAGCGTGACCTCTAATCGTAACAGTTAGGGGGTTCGCCGAACAGGGCAACATATTAATAATCATGATTACATAGATATTATTGAAAAATAAATAGTTTTTCTACTCCTAAATATATTTCACTTAACTTTATTAATAGACCTATTTTAAAAAATAAACGATTCTGCCGCCCCACAAGTGACGTGCGGGGCAGTCACCCCTTTCACTCCCATCCTAGGTTCACCTCTGCATGCGGTTGCGAAATTAAAGTAACTTTTACAGTAACTGGGAAAATGGTTACTAGGAGACTATAATTTAGAATGCCCCAAAACTCACCCCACCTCTTCTTCCCCCCACCCCATAATCATATCCTCGTCCAAAAAGAAAGCAAAACTTCTCCCCCCCCACCTGAGTGCCGTCTTAAGGTATAGGTCCAGTGGGCACTGGCCCAGGGCCCTGCGCTTGTTGGGGGCCCCACGCTTGTAGGGGGGGCCCCACGTTTCTAGGAGACTCACTCTTATGGACGCATCATGCTTTACATATTTTTAATGAATA